TTGCAATGTTTACCAAGGATACAAGCCTCACATTCATTATTCTTAAAGGAAATACTTGGTAACAAAAGACCTAAAGCACGAGAATGAGGATGTCCTAATCTAGCATGCCAAATAGCATTATTCGCATTAACAAGAATTGAGCTAAAGTGAGAAGATAGAGGAGTAGAAAGCTTTGTATCTTCAAGAACATAAAGACCATCCTTTGTACCTCCATGACCAAGCACTCTACTAGTCTCAATATCCTGAAAATGAACATCATTAGGACCAAAGATAGCATAGCAATTAAGATCGGTAGTAGCTTTCTTAACGGATAACAAGTTCGAAGTGAAGGTAGGCATATAGAAAGCTTTAGACTTTTTGCTAAACAATTCTAAATCTCCTACTCCTTTAACCAGAATCTTATCACCATTAGCAATTATGACATTTCCCAAAGCTGGTTCAATGTTATTCATCAACTTAGAGTCACTAATCATATGGTGAGAGGCTCCCGAATCAACAATAAGAGGTTTTAAAGCACTAAGAGCATGATAAGCGTTACCGGAAGACTCTTTGAGAGCCTTGATGAGTGCGTCGAGGTCAGAACGTCTCACAAGGTCGGAAGAGGCCATCATTGCGGCTCCATTTCCTCCCAAGGCTTGACTTGATGTTCCGGCTTGCTCTTGGCCTCCAAGGTTCCCTCCGGTAGCTTGGTTTGCTCTTGGCTCTCTTCGTGCTGGCTTTAGGTGAGGGTGAAGAATCCAGCACTTCTCTTTGGCATGTCCACTCCGTTTGCAATGATCACACCATGGAGCTTTCCCGCGGTTGGCGTTGAAGTTCCCACGGTTGGCGGATGCAAGCTCACTTGAGTTGCCCGAGACAAGCTCTCCTTTGCTACCAAACAACCCGAGAGATCCTTGCTCCTTTTGGATTTGAGAACACACTTCTTCAAGGTTTTGGAGCTTGTCCGCACGGAGGAGATGCTTGATGAGGTCGTTATACGCCGGACTCAAGGTGAAGAGTAGACCAAAGACCTTGTCTTGCTCACGCCTCTCGTTGATGACCGCCGGATCAAGAGTGTTGGGTCTCAACATCTCAAGCTCGGCCCAAAGAGACCGAAACTTCCCAAAGTGTTGAGTGAACTCCATGTCTCCTTGGGTCAGCTCGTTGATGGCTTTCTTGATCTCAAAAACACGGCTTAGGTTGGATTGGTTTCCAAAGACATTTTGCAAAGTTTCCCAAAGATCCTTGGGAGTCTCACAATAGGAGTATCCTTCAAGGATTGATGCTTCAAGGGAGTTTTGGAGAACGGATAAGACCATTTGGTCTTCTTGGAACCACTTGTCTTCATCAACAAGGGCGATCTCCAAGCCATCTTCGTTCGTGGTTGTTTCTCTTGGCGCTTCACTCTTGATGATGTGAGGCCAGAATCCACGACCGCACAAGATGGTCTTCATGGTTCTTGGCCAAAGCAAGTAGTTTCCTCCTTTGAGGGTGACTGGAGCACGAATCTTGGTGTTCTCCATGGTGAGAAGAATCGAAAAGAGAATGAAGATTGGAGAAGAAGAAGATTTGCAAGAAGAATCGAGTATGTGGAGCTTTATGGCTCTGATACCATGTAAGAATGTGGAGATTAGGTTGCGAGAATGGGACTTAGAATAAGCGGAAATGGAGATTTGAGAGATTAGAGAGAATAGAGAGAAAGAGATTTGATGATGAGAAAGAGAGAGATTATCTCTTCTTACTTAATTTGGCAATGTACAAGGTTTCTCCTTTAAAGAGATCTACAAAAGGAATATCCTTTAAGGATATGCTACTTTACATAAAGTAAAAGCAAAAGCAACAATCCACATCAGCAGAGGAGCGTCCCTCCTTGGTTTGAACACGCAACGGCTCCAAGGAGGAAGGATCCGGATGCTTCTAGAAGACTCTTGTCTTCTTCCTCTTTCCAATGTGTAACGGATATGAGAGAAGGTTCTGGAAGCTTCTAGAAGAGCCTTGGAGAGGATCCAAGGCTAAATGGCCGAGACAAATCTTCAATGGTACGGACGGACCAAAAGTCGGCCGTACGGGCGAGAGTCTTAAATCAGTTGTGCAACCGATCAGCGTAACCGATCGATAGTGTAACAAGGCTTCGATTGGTTGTGCAACCGATTTTCACAACCGAGCGGCAAATCTCTAGCTGACACGATCGGCTATGCAACCGATTGTAGTAACCGATTGGAAGACAAGTTACCCGGTTCTTCCTTTTCTTCACTTCATTCAATAATAAGAAGCTTGGTTATCCTTTTTAGAGTCAAATATGACTAGATCTCGTGTGTATGATTTGGTATAAGAACTAGAACCGCCACCGGATCCCACAAGCTAAAGTAGTGTTTCTCCATTTTGAAGCTCCAAAACTGAAAACTCATAGGACTTCGGCTACACTCACAAAGCTTTGAGAAACAATAAGAAGCTTTGTTAGCCTTTCTAGAGTCAAATAAGACTAGATCTCGTGTGTATGATTTGGTATAAGAACTAGAACCGCCACCAGATCCCACAAGCTAAAGTAGTGTTTCTTTGTTTAGAAGCTCCAAAACTAAAAACTCATAGGACTTTGGCCACACCCACAAAGCTTTGAGAAGCAATAAGAAGCTTGGTTAGCCTTTTTAGAGTCAAATATGACTAGATCTCGTGTGTATGATTTGGTATAAGAACTAGAACTGCCACCGGATCCCACAAGCTAAAGTAGTGTTTCTTTGTTTAGAAGCTCCAAAACTGAAAACTCATAGGACTTTGGCCACACCCACAAAGCTATGAGAACCAATAAGAAGCTTGGTTAGCGTTTTTAGAGTTAAATATGACTAGATCTCGTGTGTATGATTTGGTATAAGAACTAGAACCGCAACCAGATCCCACAAGCTAAAGTAGTGTTTCTTTGTTTAGAAGCTCCAAAACTGAAAACTCATAGGACTTTGGCCACACCCACAAAGCTTTGAGAAGCAATAAGATCCTTGGTTAGCCTTTTTAGAGTCAAATATGACTAGATCTCGTGTGTATGATTTGGTATAAGAACTAGAACCGCCACCGGATCCCATAAGCTAAAGTAGTGTTTCTTTGTTTAGAAGCTCCAAAACTGAAAACTCATAGGACTTTGGCCACACCCACAAAGCTTTAAGAAGCAATAAGAAGCTTGGTTAGCGTTTTTAGAGTCAAATATGACGAGATCTCGTGTGTATGATTTGGTATAAGAACTAGAACCGCCTTCGGATCCCACAAGCTAATGTAGTGTTTCTTTTTTTAGAAGCTCCAAAACTGAAAACTCTTAGGACCTTGGCCACACCCACAAAGCTTTGAGAAGCAATAAGAAGCTTGGTTATCCTTTTTTAGAGTCAAATATGACTAGATCTCGTGTGTATGATTTGGTATAAGAACTAGAACCGCCACCGGATCCCACAAGCTAAAGTAGTGTTTCTCCATTTTGAAGCTCCAAAACTGAAAACTCATAGGACTTCGGCTACCCTCACAAAGCTTTGAGAAACAATAAGAAGCTTTGTTAGCCTTTCTAGAGTCAAATAAGACTAGATCTCGTGTGTATGATTTGGTATAAGAACTAGAACCGCCACCGGATCCCACAAGCTAAAGTAGTGTTTCTTCGGTAGAGGATGCGATTCTTGCAGTGAAGAATCTCGCCTTTAGCCCAAAGAGAAGACCTAATCTGAATTAATTTTCTTGTGAATTTTGTCTCAGTCGATGTCAGGAAAGGATGAAAGGTTCAAGAGAATCTCGCCTTTAGCCCAAAAAAAAAAAAAAAAAAAAAATCTCGCCAAAGCCTTTGTTGAGCGATGAACGGATGAGATTACCTTAAACATGCAGCCGCCAAAGCCTTTGAAAGGCTGAGATGTCGCCACGTCATGTATCCGAGTGAAACATTATGATTGGATTGAGTAAATTGATCAAGTATTAGATCCGATGAATGGCTGAGATCTCGCCACATCAGCAATCCGAGTGAAACATTATGATTGGCTTATTTTGTCTATAGGCATAAAAATGTGTTTTTACTATTTATATAATTTTAAAAAATTATATATTGATGAATTAATATGTTTATGAGTTATTTACATGATTAGATAATTTTTTCGCAATTTAAAAAAAATATTTTGCAGCGTTTTTAGAAATTTGAAGATAACACATATGATTGCCTTAGAATACATGTACACTAAACTTCTTATTGTGTAAATCATATTGTTGAAACACATTAATGATGTTATAATTAATAAAATGATAGAATTCATTTATGTTATAATAGTATACTTTATATCATTAATATTAGCTACTATTTTAAACATTGAACCCTAAACCCTAAACCCTAAAATATTTTTAAAAATGAATTTTATTTATGTTATTATTTGTTATAATTAATATTATTACTATTTCAAACAAATATAATCCAAAAACCTAAACCATACATTTCATACCCTAAACCCTAAACTCTATACCCTAAACTCTTTAAAATTATAACTTTGTTATTATTTTGTAATTATTAATATTATAATTAAATATTTATGTCTTTTTGAGATATTTGGTTATATTTGTTTATATTTCCTTTTTTTATTTAACTTTTCTTTTACAAAATTCAAAAATCATTTTAAAAATCTTTAAAATCTTTAAAATCATTTAACTTGAAACCTAAAGTACATACCTTAAAATAATTAATTCAATTTTTTCCAATTAAAATTTTTTCCAAATAATTAATTATATTTTTGCCAAGAGATAATATTAATCCTAAAAGTTTTTTCTTTTGGCCATTGACATTGTCATTTCTTACAAAACACGAATATGTTTACACAGGGTGTTACAATACGAAGAAGCCAATGGTAGCAAGAGATAGAAAGATTTTAGGATACAAAGAGACATAAAACACATGAGATGGATGATCATTCCAGTTAAGATGTTTTAAGTTTGTGTATTTGTGTTTGCATTCTCAGATATATTTTTACCAAGAGAAAACATATATATGCCATTAGTAACATAAGAAAACAAAGTCAAGTGCATGTAATAAAAGAAAACACAAAGCGTTCGACACTTAAACTAATTGTAATAGCCATCGTGGATCTCTGAGAGACCTCGCAGTTCCTGCTGACTTTCTTTTTGATATCAGAGAAGATCATTCCCCACTTGGGTTTCCATGTGATATGAGACAATACTTCAACCTCTTGAAAACCAGTCCTGTAAGTAGCTTTAATGGCTTCTATAGCTCCTAATGGAAGTCCATCAAAGGACATTGCTTCAGGTGGTGGATTTGGTAACGAAACCACAAGCAACAAGAGGTTTGGATTCTTCACTGTCACCTATCAAACAAACTCATAAAATCAGAAAACTGAACAAGAGCATATGGATCTTATACAAATCTTAAGAGTGAAAAATTTCACCTGAACATGGTAACAAACATCATCAAATGCAATCCACTGATAATTTAGCTCCACAGCTTTATCAAGACTGAACAAAAATAATAATGAAGACCTAAAACTCTACAAAAAGGATTGAACTTTTCTTCCATTCTACAAAATCTACAGGATGTGGTCGGAGTTAGCCTCATGTGTGTCTTTTTCACTCGGCAGTACAACTTGCCAAAACTTGGCTAAATACTAATCCCATTCCTCTACAATCATTGTTCCTTTGCTGCTTCCCGTAAAAACATGAAAGTCTATGTTAATCGCACTAATAAAAAAAACAGTCCAAAACAAAAAATGCAGACTTTGCCAAAGAGAAGAACCTAAGAACACACTTAAAGTGCATCTACGATATAAAGCTTCCTATGAGATCAAAACAAAGTATCAATATTTAACCACCTTGCATATATGAAACAAGCGAGTATCTTTTTCTCCTACCCAAATAAGAAACTAAATTATCATGAAAAATCTGGTCATAAAATAACTTTGATATACCTCCTCATGTTCATCATCAAACCAAATAAAGGTTGTGATGAGCGGGCAATCACATCTCCACTTCCTGCAATAAAGACAAAAAAAACAGCAACATGTAAATGTGGAAGCTATACAAACGAAGTACAAATGGAAGTACCACAACCGGTGTATTTTTACCTGGATGACACCACAAGATCACAGGCAAGCGACATCTTGCCAAAACATGTAACTCAGTTATTCTCATGAGCGTAACTCAGTTGCAAGAAGTCAAGAACAGTCACATAGAGATCAATTAGATATCAATTATTTACCAAAACATTAAAATTGATATATCAAAATGAAACTCATAAACCTTCAACAGAAGTTTCACCAAGCTCTTCCTGCAAAAGAAAAAATTCATCGATGTAAATTAAAACTTTACATGAGACAAATACCCAAAACCCAAACACAATGTTACCGTAAATGTCAAATTCGACTTACACGGATGAAGATCGATGAAAAGTGAGAATGAAGGATTGAGACAGAGATCGAAGTACTAGACTGAGATTAAGAAAAAACAATAGAGACTGAATCGAACGAGATGCTGAATTGAACGAGAAATTGATACAGATTGAGACTACACATAAGAGGATCGAGATTGACATTCAGAGAACGAGACGAAGATAGATTTGCTACGATTGAATATGAACATACCTGTTGGAGATCGAGAGAAATCGAGAGATATCGACTGAGATTGAGTTGCAGATTGTGAGAATTCGAGTGAAATCAAGTGAGATGTGTTGTTGACTGTGAGAAATCGAGAGAAATCGAGAGAGAAGAAGTTTATTTTGCCTTAAGAAAAAAATGAAAAAGTGATGTTTCTTGTTTTAATTTATTTTGCCTTAGCCAAAATTTCACATTTTTCCCTCTTAACAGATTCAATAGCGGGAATTAAACTTTAGTAACCCGAAAATTGGCCGCGTCAATTTCAGCATGTCCCGCTTAAATCATCTATAGCGTTTACAATTCAAAAAACGCTATCTTTAAATCACGATCAAGTCAAACATAGCAGAGACATAAAAACCGCTATCTTTTAGTGCTATCAATACCCACATTTCCTGTAGTGAGCGTTTTTAGAGTCAAATATAACTAGATCTCGTGTGTATGATTTGGTATAAGAACTAGAACCGCAACCGGATCCCAAAAGCTAAAGTAGTCTTTCTCCGTTTAAAACCTCCAAACTGAAAACTCATAGGACTTCGGCGACACTCACAAAGCTTTGAGAAGCAATAAAAAGCTTGGCTAGCATTTTTAGAGTCAAATATGACTAGATCCAGTGTGTATAATTTGGTATAAGAACTAGATCCACAACCGGATCCCAAAAGCTAAAGTAGTGTTTCTCCGTTTAAAAGCTCCAAAACTGAAAACTCATAGGACTTCGGCTACACTCACAAAGCTTTGAGAAACAATAAGAAGCTTTGTTAGCCTTTTTAGAGTCAAATAAGACTAGATCTCGTGTGTAGGATTTGGTATAAGAACTAGAACCGCCACCGGATCCCACAAGCTAAAGTAGTGTTTCTTTGTTTAGAAGCTCCAAAACTGAAAACTCATAGGACTTTGGCCACACCCACAAAGCTATGAGAACCAATAAGAAGCTTGGTTAGCGTTTTTAGAGTTAAATATGACTAGATCTCGTGTGTATGATTTGGTATAAGAACTAGAACCGCAACCAGATCCCACAAGCTAAAGTAGTGTTTCTTTGTTTAGAAGCTCCAAAACTGAAAACTCATAGGACTTTGGCCACACCCACAAAGCTTTAAGAAGCAATAAGAAGCTTGGTTAGCGTTTTTAGAGTCAAATATGACGAGATCTCGTGTGTATGATTTGGTATAAGAACTAGAACCGCCAAAGGATCCCACAAGCTAAAGTAGTGTTTCTT